TGCAAGTCATCTGTCTACATACGCATTCCTATGCAATGGAACCATGCTCTCGAAACATTGACCATAACTTATTGTCCATAGTATTCATGTTCGCATCATTTCATATTACCCTCCAACCTGGAGACCTCGGTACAAGAACTGGCATGCTTGTTTATTTGAAGTTCTCCGGATGCAAGATACCAGCCATGTTACCCGCCTTAACACGCTTGAGGGTCAAAGCTGCAATCAAAGCTGCACCAACACCAGATCCGTCCTCAGCAGCCAAGATTTCAATAGGATCCTCCTCCTTAGCATTCTTCTTTGCAGGCCAATCAAGAATTTCACGGAGTGCGGCAGCACCACGAGCCTTGAAGTGGGGGTATTTGTTAAAGACAGATCCGTCAGCTCCGACGTGGCAAGTCTCGTAGTTCTTCTTCTTGGCAATAGCGGCAACACCACAAGCGGAGAGACGGGCGGCACGGGTACCAATCAACTCGGCAAGGCGACGGATGAGCTCGAGTTCTGGAACAGTGGCTCTAATGCTGAGCTTGTTCTGGAAAAGATCAGCGGTCTCTGACAAGTTCTCCCATGGGTCCCTAGATAAATGTTAATAGTCTATCATTAAAAGATATGAATGTATGGGGAACATACTCCTCAACCAAAGACAAGAATGAAGAATCCAAGGTGTAAGCTTTTCGGAGTTTTTCAATATCTTGACCCTCAAACATGTGGATATCTTTGTTGTCATGAAGATCAACGAGAACCAATCTGAAAAGTTCTCCAAGGTAAAGACCAGCAATCATCTTCTCGAATGCTTGCTGACCAGGACGTGGAGAATCTTTATCAATAATGATATCGTATGGAGTACGGGGGAGAACTTTGTGTTCATTATCGAAAGCACCCCACTCGCAGTTGATTGCCATTGGGGTGTCAGCAGGTAGGTTCATGTGTGCTAATTTTGGAATAGAACCGCAGTTTTCCATGTAAGCAGCGTTGCAACCAGTTCCGAAGATACAACCAATCTTCATGGCTGTATCAGTATATGCGGAAGCAATCAAGGTACCAGTGGTATCATTGATCAAAGCTGTAAGCTTAATTGGAACGCCCTGATGAATTCTTAGCAAGCGTTATCTTCTGAATGCTACTAAATAACTTACTCTTTTGGCAAGAGCTGCCTCGAACATTGGAACAACGTTTTCACCTTCGACACCTGCAATATCGAAGCCCTTGGTCCATCTTTGCAAAATACCCTCATCAATGTAGTTTTGGGTAGCTGGGTAGGAGAAGGTGAAACCAAGACTCAACGTTCCAAGATTCTCACCCTGATGATGGGATTCGACGAATTGCTGAAGACAATCGGCGATATATTCCCAAAGTTCATTTGCGTCACCAGTCTTGAGCTCTTCTGGCATGCGGTATTTTGATTGAATGATATCAAACTCGGACTTCTCATCAGTCAAGATGATTTCACAGACACGCAAGTTAGTACCTCCCATGTCCAAAGCGAGGAATGTACCAGTTTCGTAACCATCTGGGAATGTCATGCACCAAGTTGGGTTCATGGGCTAAACAAAATTAGTCATAACTCATACTTCGGATCCGAAGAACATACGATACTTCCACCCTCTACAGTCAGACCTGGTTTCAAAATTAGCACGGTGCTCGTACCGCTGTTAGAGGGCACAATAAATACCTTTTGTAAGCTCAGAGACGAAATGTTCGGTGATCTCCTTGAGTTTCTTGGTGTCAACAGTGAACTGTTGCTCAAGCTTCTTGATTTGTTCCAAGTAATTTTTTGGAACATCGGCCATAGAACCTATGTGATGCCATGAGTCAGTAAATTTAAACTCTATTCAAAGACTTCAAAAGTGTGATCGAAGATGTAGTGGGTGAGGAGATGGACCCGTGCAATAAACTTTTTTGTTGTTTTGCAGTCCATATCAACGGTGAAGTCTATAGCTTCAACCGTGCAGACAAGGGTGACATAAGCAGCATCAGCCATTATTAAAGATTGCAAAGGATCTCTGCCTAAGAGTGGATCTTGGATTTTTTTTTGAAAAGAGTATCAAAACCAAGAGACCCTGGGCTGCTCAGAAAGCACACGCTAAAATTTTAGTCCAATCTAAGCAGAACACTTGTCGGGTAGACTAGACTAGACTAAAATAATAATAGGCCGAGTAAATATAAAGACAGGGACCAGGAGATGTCAACCTTTGTGTGATAATGGTGTTTGGAACTCCTCAATAGGAGCTGAAGATAGAATAGGTGATGAAGTTGTCGACATATTGCGGATTATTTATCTAGAAACTTCGTAGATTTGAAAGCTTTGAGTTCTTGCGTGTGATAATCTGACTTTGAAAGGCCAACAGCTGGTTGCTTTCAAGCTGAGATTGCTTTGAGAGAAGGCATTGAAAGGTGTGTCATAATAGGTTGTATCAAGCTGTACAGCCTGTCCATTCACAAACAAAGAGTGAACTTAGATCACATTTTGAGATTCCCATCCAAAACGAACGAGGCCGAGCCAAAAGGATCCTGAGTTGACAAAGGGAAAGTTGAAGTTATACATACCCTTACGGGAAGGAGGCTTTCTTGGACCTAACCCCACCATGTTGAAGGATTTTCAAAGATAGATTTGTAAATAAAGGGTATAAAAGAAGAGTTGAAGAGATTCTAGGATCTTGGGTATGAAATTGAGGATATAAAGCAATACAAATAACAGAAAAATAAAGAAGTCGCCGTTGCTGATTCTACAAAAGTTTTCTTGAGAGAGAAAGGATTGAATTTGTGTTGGGTGAAACTAAATAAATGGGTTGTCTCCTTCGGACTTCACTCGACTCCCCGCCGTGACTTCATCATAGTGGATCAGATTTCAGCTCAACAGCCCAGTAACAGCTTGATTAATAAGCACGGGCGTATTCATGATTGCTTGCCGATAAGAAGATCTATGGATAGATTAAGCGCGCTCGCGATTATTGATAAGTGAATTAAGAAATGAAAAGAGGGAAGTGGGGAGTGAGGGAGTGAGGGAGAGGTGTGAAACTAGTGAACATCGCGAAATGGCGTCTAATTGTTCAGGACACTTTGGAGCAACGTAAGCTTCAATATTACCGGGGGACAGCTATTTGGGAAGGAATAGGAAAGAAATATTGACAACACCACGTCTTAAAATTGCTCACATTTCAATTTATTTTGTAGTGTGATTCAATTTCTCTTCATTAGGCTGGCTTCCAATAATTCTTCAAAATGAAGTCATTCACGATTGCGACTGCGGTCCTTTCTCTTGTGTCGACAGCTTTCGGCGCAGACAAGAGTAACTTGACAAAACCACTTTCCTCGAAACAAATTCTTCCCTCGAATTTCAAACCTCCACAAGTCTTCAAAAATGCCAATTTGGTCCATCATATCAATCTCGAGAAAAGTTACCCAAAAGAGTCAATTAATGTGGTAATTGAAAACATTGCGAACGAACCCCAAGATGAATACTATCTGCCATTCACATCGAGGCAAATGGAGACAATTGGAGCTTTAGAAGTAAAGGACAGAAAGGATGCTGATTCCGGACTATTCGAAGTACGAGCAGTAGAGGTAGACACAGAGAGGTAAATTTATGTTGGTACCGTTACTCGAATCATTAGCTAATTACTCACAAGTGACACTCAATTCTACCTGATCAAGCTACCACAACCCCTCGCACCCAAAGCACAACAAACAATTGGCATTTCATATTCATACCTTTCGGCTCTGAACCCTCTTCCAAATTCAATCGCACAGAACGAGAACCAATACGTTGTTTACGAATTCTCCGCATATGCCCAATCATCATACGTCACTTTGAAGCAAAAGACTGAGGTTAAATTCCCAACTACCAATATTCCAGAACACACCATCATCCCAGGAATTGATGGTGCATCCGAATCGCCACAGAAGCAAGGTTCCAAATATACTTACGGTTCTTATGGAGAGGTACCAGCTGGTGCAGTCGAACCAGTCCGAGTTCGATATGAGTTCACCAAACCCCTCATTCACGTCTCTAGATTAGAGCGTGATATTGAAGTTAGCCACTGGGGAGGAAATGTTGCTTTCGAGGAACGTTATACTTTGACAAACCGTGCTGCCAATCTTTCTAAACCTTTCTCTCGCACTCTCTGGAACCAAGCCGCATACTATGCCACCACTCCCACTTCTGCCATCAAGGAGCTTAAATTCCCATTGAAGGTTGGAAGTTTGACACCATACTTCACTGATGTCATTGGCAATGTCTCTACTTCTCGTTTCCGCAGCAACAAACGCGAAGCAAATCTTGAGATCAAGCCCCGTTACCCAATCTTCGGAGGCTGGAATTATCCTTTCCGTGTAGGATGGGATGCTGATGCTAAAAAGTTCTTGAGAAAATTAAGCGGAGGAGAGCAATATGTTCTCAATGTCCCATTTTTGGAAGGTCCAAAACAAGCCGAGGGAGTTGAATATGAATTCGTTGAACTCCGTGTCATTCTTCCAGAAGGAGCCGAGTATGTATCCTATCCTTTTTGTCCATAACGCAACTAACCCCTCTCTCATTAGAAACGTCCAATTCTCCACTCTTGTCCCTACCGCCTCCTCTACGATCACCCTCCACAAAACTTTCATGGATACTATTGGCCGTACAACACTCATACTTCATTCTCATAACTTGGTTGACGATCTCCGTGATCGCGAACTCATTGTTACATATACCTACCCCTTTCTTGCAGGTTTCCGCAAACCTATTGTTATTTTCTGCTCCGTTTTGAGTTTATTCGTTACAGTTTGGGCTATTGGTACTTTGAATGTCAGTATCAAGGGAAAGAAGGCTTAAGTTTCGGTTAGAGAGAAATCCGAGAAAATTTGCGGCATCTAGCTGTAAGAGTTTGATTGAGATATGTGTATAGATAGATAGCAAGATGTGTAAAATGAGAAAACTCTTGATTGTTATTCTTTCGCTTCGTTCATTCATTTCCTATATGTTCAAAAATATGCACTTTAACCCGCGAATCTAGTGGTCGCTATATAAGCTTAAAAGTGCCAATCTCTTCCGGCAAGTACAAGTCCTTCCCACCCAGCTCGAATTCGGTCCCTCCATCCTCTCTTCCTTCCAATCTCTCAAGTTCCCTCTCAAACAAATCGCACTGCTCTCCACTAAAATCCACCCTTCCCAATCTCCTATACTCCCCCCGCTTCCCCGTACTCAAAACACACAATCCATACACCAACTTCAACCCATCCATCTCATGTCCCTCTCTCTCAAACGTCGCTTTCGCAACCGGCAAAAAACACGCACGTCCAATATCGCTATACTCCTCTGGTTGATCGACCCGTACATGTACCACATGACTGTACTTCTCTACAAAACTCCCCTCCAGTATCTCAACTTTCTTTTTCGGTTGGCCGGAGATATAAATGGTTGGCTCATCGCGATTCCAAGACGGGAGATTGGCAGGCCAATCGGGAGGATCCATAGAGAGGGGATAGAGAATTCCGCGCAAAATTAGATGCGCGGAGTGGATTCTTCCGAAGGGGAGAGTGGGATTGAGCGGATTTATTTGCGCGGTGAGCAGCTCGATCATAGAATCTTTGCCTGCGAGAGCAATAGGAAATCCAGGCTCGATGTCCCCGGATACGGAAGCCCAGGACCAGGAAGGAGCTTCGTAGGAGGCGAGCCGATTGGATTCCGTGATGTGGTAGGTGGGATTTGTGCCGACGAGGTCGCGGGCTGCGAGGCTGGGCACCGGGAAGGGATGGTTGGAGCGGAGGCCTTTGTGCACGCTCCAGAGGAGAGTGCCTGGTAGATGGCTTCGCCAGAGACCCGCGAGGAAGGTGTCGTGGAGGAGGAGGGAGAATTTTTGGGCTACGCCTGCGATGGCTACGAGGCGGTCTTTCTCGAAGGTTACTTCGGAGCGTCCATAGGTTTCGAGCACTCGGTACCAATCTTGTATATATGTATTTCCTTCTTCTTTCTCATCACTCTGACGTCCAAAGACTCGAGCATTCCCAGGAAGTTTAAACCCCGTGTGTTTATTCAGCCTCACCTGTTTCGGCAATCCCAGCGGAAACGCCTCCGCAGCTTCATGTGTCCTGCATTCCCAAACCATCTGATCGAAAGCAAAATGCAGGATTCGCGGACTGAGCCATCTTTCCTGCGTGATCCACGCCCGTTTATTGCACGGAGAACTATGGATCCTATCTTTCCAGAACTGGAAATCGGTGATGACGAATTCGTGATTGGGGACATTGTCCCAGGTAGACTTCACGATACAGGGTTTGATGAGCTCTGGATTTCGCGCGGGGATTAATGTGTCGAGGGCGGCGGTACCGCAGATGTTGAGGAGAGAATGCGCATATACGTCACCCATTGTTTGGGCTTCGTGATTCCAGTCTTCGGGGCAATCTTGGATGATGCAAAGGGAGTCGATCCAGATATAACGGACGTTGAGACGACGGGCAACTAGAATCGCTTCTTGGAATCGGGGAGGTAGGATATCGTCGGAGATGAAATTTTTCATTTGTTCGATATTGGATTTCTCGAGTCGCGCACTGATACCTCCTTGGGCGGGCCAGCAATGACTGAGTGTGAGATATGAGGGATCCTCGAGTGGCGTATCTTTCGTCTCTATTAATCTGCAATTTGCAGGAAAATGACCAGTTGACATGTTGAACATCAGAGCTGCTAATTGCGCTACTGGGTCAGGATTGATGAGATACTGTACGTCGATTAATCGCGTAGGATACCATGGAGCTTCCTCGATCGTGGGGTTACATTTAGGGTGATTTTCAATACAATTGTTGGCCCATTGAAGCATGGTTGTCCAGGTGTTGTCAGAAAAGATACTGAGATCGGGTTTTGGCAATTCCCGAAGTGGTGCAAGACATTCTTCAGCTATTCATTGTTAACCTACCTATCACTATACAAAATCTTCCTCACATACCATTCAAAACCGACACATTGATAGTTTTCCATCTCGGCACCTCTCTATCCATCCGCGCATTCAACTCCACCATAATCTCAAATCCCTCATCACCATCTCCATCTCCATCCTCTTGTTCCTCATTATTCGCTCCACTTCCTGCAGAATCCTGATCCAACCCCTTAAACCTATACCTCGTCCCATTCCTAATAATATGCACCGCGCCATCTCTCAAAAACAATGGATACTGTCTATACTCCTCTGGCGACTTATCCCTGAAAAAATGTCTCCAAATGATATAACATAATTGACAACCATTTATCGCGCCGTCACAGAGATTTGAGATGTCAGAATGAAGAGGACGGATGATATCGTCTATATTTGACGAAGGGGTAGATATTAGAGGAGGTCGATCCCCGGAAAATATCGTACTGCAAGTTGCGCATAACATTGTGTTTATCTTATTTCTGGATGAAGATCTTATGGAAAAGAATGATTAAGGAAATAGTGACATGAGGGGTCACTCAGCCGCAGATACACATCTAGCAATCTTGAGCTTGGCGCTTACCGAAGCGTAACCACGTGATGCGTGTGTGAAAGTCACATCGAGGTATATTTCGAGATCAGCATAGTGATAAGGCTATGAGGATATCAAATGATTCATGGTAGCTACTAGGATCTAAGATCATGAGTGTTGAAGTTGAAGAGGTGAGAATATTCTTGTCAGAAGAACATGCATGTAGTTTTAGCGAGAAATCGGGAAGGGGGAGGGCAAGCTCGCAAGGCAAGGTATTAAAGCTTTCTAATTAGAACGGTACTGCTAGATGAGCAATCAAATGAAGTCCTTTCTCTCAAATAATCCTTCCAAATACTTCAACCAAAATCAAAATCCCAAACTCATCCCAAACTATCTTCAAATCCTCAAAAGCATCTCACACGCATCGAGACACGCATAATATTCTTTAAAGCACTTTCTTCACCTTGCTCACCTCTCTCGCCTTCCATCTAACACACTCATTTCCCACTACTTATCTCACTGAACCATTAATCTAAATAAAACTTTTGACCAATGATGCCACCCGCATGAAGACCAATATATACCTTGCAACTGAATTCATGTGTTGTGACAGCGTCCCCGCATTAACCAGAAATTGGCGCTTTGTGATTCACACTTGAACTCGCACTATTTATTCAATCCCATTTTTTTTCGTTTCTTGAAACTTGGTATACACAGATTAACTATATACGAATTAAGCCAAATGCCTACATAGATACAAATTTTCAAAGGCGCCGTCTCACGTTCTCTTCCTCCTGATCCCATCAATTACCGCCTAGCCGTGGCGTCTATTTACTAAAATCAATTTTGATATAGACAACCTCTTTTGTACACTTTGATTGCACATCTTGCTCAGACCGCTTCTCTCCGACTCACTTCAACAATTTCATCATTCCTTAGCACTCATCTGGAACCAAGCATTGACGACCACCGCCGCAAAGAGCGATGCGCACAAAATACTAGGTCCCCAAGCATCATAGTACTTAATGTTTCTCCTCTCCCTAATGCTATTACTTCTATACAAGTACATGCCTACACTGTAGGCCAAACTCATAATGGCGACTACGGAAAAGAAACCTGCAGCAATGAAGGATATAGCAGTAGGTTTCGTTCCAAAGTTCACGAGTGTGGCTGCAATTGTACCGATGTAGATAGAAAATTCAAGCTATAAGAATGTGTTAGAAGTTTGCATGATCATTTAAACAGTATAATTGAGAAAATACATACCCAAGTCAAGAAGGTTCTCTCAGCGGCAAAATACACCTTTGGCTCGACGCGAACGGGTACGTGAATCTTCTTTCCGGGTGGTGCCTTGAATTTCCTGGCCACAATTTTACCACCCCCATTTCGAAGAGCCGAGAATGTAGCGTTGTTACTATCCATTGGATCTCTTGGAGCAGGGCTTATAGAATGGATTTTTCGAGATAGATGATGTCCCGCAGTTTTAGCATAATATTTGATGCCTTCCGTTATAAAGGCTAGACCGCCAACTCCTCTAGCTTCCTCAAATGGTCGATTGTCGACAGAATCTTCGTCATCACTATCATAGATATAGTCCTCTTCCACCAATGGCATGCTGGCAATTTCTTCTTCGATATCAAGACTATTTCCTGGTGCTCCATGGTTGCGTCGTCGTAGGGTTTCGGACGCAGTGGCAATGTTCCCCGCCCCAGATTGATTGAAGTTGTAATCTTCATCATCAGAGTCATCGTCGTCGTCATCGTCACTTGTGGAACTTGGATTTGAATGACCTGGTCGTTTGATACCGAACGATTGGGTAACTGGCTTTCGGATGTCTACATCCATTTGTGGCATCCAGAATGGTATAAGGTTTATGCGAGTCGGGAAGAGAGTCGCGGTACCATGAATGAATTTGGAGAATTTGGGAACAGCTTCAACGAGATGACTAGCAATGAGTTCTCGTACCCATTCTGGTGGTTCTTGACCAGCCTGGGTTTGTAACTTCACTTCGAGAACCGCGTATGGAAATCTTTCAACATCTTCTGCAGGTAACTGACTAAATGGATAATCAATACCGATATCCATTCTTCGCCAATTGTCACCAGCGCGTCTTCTTCCGTCAAGATTATCTTCTCTAACCATTGTCAACTCAGTATCTAAAGAGATACGAACTCTTGCGTCGGCTGGCAATTGGAAGGCTGTACGGTTATAGAAGGATCGACAGACAGGTACATAACCCTTCTTGATAACCGAGTATTGAACTTCCCTAGCAAGTCTCTCGTCCTCCTCGATGGCTTTCAATGGCTTCTTGCCCTCCTTGCGAGCCTTCTCAAAAATAGCAGCAGGCAACATTTCTCCCTTCATGTATGCATTGACGTTCTTTTCTTTGATTCCAAATCTTGCCTTCACTGACTTCTCTCCCGTCCAATCTTCACGATGGGTTTTTCTCTCCACAAATATATGTTCATTGTCGACATCGCCATACCATCTAAGACGGATTGCCTCGGCTCCCTCACTCTTCTTAAGTCGACCCTCATATAGATCCCAAGTCTCGGGATTGTCGTAGTAAATCGACGTGATCGCAGAATCTTTCGCTTCGAACTCCTTGCTGGCATTGAAAACAAGAACCGGTAGATGCTATAAAAAGAATAAGCAGAGATTATGGGTATTTGCTAGATTGAAATTACCTTCAAGATGATAAGCTTCAGCTCGGTGATGTTATCCGGGTGCACCCAATATTTAGTTGTTTGTCGAATGAAACTAGCTTGACTTCCACCTGCCGAGCTGTCTCCTTGCACTGGATTTCCTCTTGTTCTGACCAAATCATATAATTTGGATAATTTAACAATGTCGGCATCATAGTTGTCTTTGAAGAAGGGTTTCGCCTTGAGTCTTGTCGCAAACACAGGTTTTAGCATCCATTTGGTGGTTTTCTGGTAATCGTTAGTTGGGCGCGATAAGTTTATAATCAACAAACTTACGTCATGTTTCTTGATGATCTTCTGGAATCCGGTGTAATTCAGTTGAACGAATTTGGCCAAATCGTGTACATCCGCGATAATGTCACTCAAGTCTTCCTCCAATAGCATGAACTCTTCTTCTGTAGGAGCATCAGAATCTACTGACCCATTGCTACGTTCGGGCCCTCTTGGATCCAATCTTCCCACGACTTCGCTAACCTCTCTATCCGCGTTCGCAATTCTCCGACTGATTTCGATGGCCTTCAGCTTTTGTTTGGTATGTACCTTGTCCAGCTCTGCCTCCATGAGATCAATGAACTCTCTTTCATTTGCTTCGGTCCATTTTTCTCCTTTCGAATTCGACTGATTTTTCGTCGAGGGGGTCTTGAGCTTCTCTTTCAGCTCATCATACGCAATATAGTACCATTGGTACTCTTTGATCACACTTGATCTGAGTTGCTCGCCGAACTTCATGATGATGGTTCCTGGTTGGAAGTTGTAGTGACCTGGCGGGCCGTTGGTTTGTGATAACCAACGTTGAGTATCTGCTTTCAAATCGTGAACAATTAGCATTTATGAGCAGGGGAGATGCCGCAATATCTGCACAGGAACAGATAATGGGATTGATCTGAATGCGAATTGATGTAGTGTAAGGGGCGCGTAAAGAAGATATACCTAGTTGAACACAGAAAACTGTGAGTTGCGCTTGATTTGAGGAAAGGGTGATAGTACTCGGTGGTGGGTGTCAATTCTTTGCAGATTTGTTGGTATTTTATTACGAAGTAGATTGTGTTAAAAAAGTTGCATAATTAAAGGTATGAATTGTGAATTTTACAAGAGCTGAGGAGGTGGTTTTGCCCAGGTAGGTAGGTATTAAATGTTTTATATTATTATTAGTGAAATTAGTGAAAGTATAGTAATAAGTCTACCTAGTAATGATAGAAAGCTTAAGAGCTTCATTGACCAATCATAGAGTAGTAGCGCGGAACGTGTCAGAGTTAGTATTAGTACTCAATTTAGTTTAGCTTGTTCTAGTCGCTCTGGCTCTAGTGTCAAAGTAGAAGTAGCATATTTAATATTTAATCCGGATTCTTATCTCATCTTATCAATTTCATCTTTTCATCCATTACATTACATTACGGAGGATATTGCCGACGCAGGTAGGTACTAAGTAGGTAGGGCGTATTACATGAGGTTATTGTCCTAAAATGATTGGTCTAACGTCACATGTCTACTCAAACATGGGATTGTTGAATTTACTCTGCTTCTATCATTTGATTTGATTGATTTCGTCTTTGGTACTTCATCCTCGATACTCAGATTCTTTACTTCTTCACTACTAGTTCACTAGCTGGAGTTCTTCACGGTTACAGACCTTGAGATCTGTCTGTCTACTTTATCGATAGCTGTAGAGTATCCATCTGTTTGAACTCAAGTGTTTCAGCTTGATTTGACTCTACGAACCCGATATCAAATCATTACCGAATCAAATCACAATCTATTCATTGCATCAATGGCCGCAATTACTACTGCGCCAAACACGCCGTTATTGATCTATGGTTCCGTCATTCAGTCAGCTAGTGTGGACGAACTTGAATATGTCGAGCGAGGCCTTCTAATTATTCAATCCGGCAAGGTTCTTCACTATCAAAAGAACGTCGAGAAGGATGATATCCCTAGCGCACTTGAGAGTCTTGACCTCAAAGCCCTTCTCCCCAGTGTTCGTCATCTGAAAACAGGCCAGTTTGTTATTCCTGGCTTCGTCGATACTCATAATCACGCACCTCAATGGGCCCAGCGTGGCTTAGGACGTGGTCTAGAGATTCTGGATTGGTTGGATCAAGTAACCTTTCCAAATGAAGCAAAGTTCGAAGATTCAGAACATGCTCGACGTGTTTACAGTTCGTGCGTTGACGGATTCATTAAGGAAGGCATCACCACTGTATCATACTATGGGTCTTTGCATGGTGAAGCGACAAAAATATTAGCAAATATCTGTTTCGAAAAAGGACAGCGAGCTTTCGTAGGCAAATGCAATATGAACCGCAATTCACCTCCTTATTACACCGATGCATCCGCAGAATCTTCTCTTGAAGTTACAAGGGACTTTATTTCCTACGTTCGACACATTGATCCCAATTTTGATTTGGTCAGCCCTGTTCTTACTCCTCGATTTGCAATTTCTTGTACCGATGAACTTCTTGCGGGCATTGGACAGATAGCGAAAGCCAATCCTACATTACCCATCCAAACTCATTTTTGCGAGGCAGAGTCCGAAAAATCTACTACGCTATCTCTGTTTCCGTCATTTACAAACGAAGCGGATCTTTATGAAAGTTTCAATCTCCTCTCTAAGCGTTCCATTCTCGCACACTGTACCATAATGACAGACTACGAGATAGAGCGTATTGCTGTACTTGATTGTGGGGTAGCACATTGTCCAATTTCTAATACCACGGTTGGTGGTGGATTCATGGCAGCACCAATTCGCGAATACCTTCGTCGTGGCATCAAAGTTGGTCTAGGAACTGACAGTGGTGGTGGATTTTCTTCCTCAATCTTGGATGCTATGCGACAAGCATTCATAGTATCCAATGCGAAGGATTTCCTCACTAAAGGTGCTGATCCAAGATTGTCACTGGCTGAATGTTTCTATCTTGCTACGCTTGGTGGTGCTCGAGTTTGTTGTCTGGATCATGAGATTGGCGACTTTTCCAATGGGAAGGAGTTTGATGCTTTGATTATTGACACAGGAAAGGATGGAGCAATGACTATGGTTGATGACAAAGACACACTTCCAGTTCTTTTTGAGAAATTTTTGATGAGTGGAGACGATCGAAATATTGTCGAGGTTTATGTTAAAGGAAGACAGATTAAATTCTGATCAAATTTCCATGCCATTCTTAGGGATAGTTTTTCCTTTGAGCATTATCATAGTATTGTCACAGTAATGCGATACATGCCCACTATTGACCAGCTACTAGGTACATTCTTTGAATTATTGTTTCCATCATGCATTCCACAAATCATGATTTCGGCTGACAAAGCACCTACATAGCCGCTTGACATATGTACCCCACGTGTCACAGGCACCAATGCTCCAATGACTTTGCTTTTTGCTTTTATCCACACTCTTCATTAGTCTCCACGTTTTCTTGATACCCGTGTGCTTTCTCTCACTCCTCACCAGATATATCTTCAGTATGATCTCTGATCCTTCTCCAGCCCAGCTATCCAATGCTCCCATAACTACATCCAAACTTTCGCCGCTCAGGATCTTATGCCTGGGCGATTCTCTCACAGAAGGCTATTCGCACTTCGGTACAAAGTTCACCCCGTATAGCAAATGGATGAAAGAAGTCTTGGTGGCAAAATGGCCTGATAGAGCAATTGAGGTTATCACAGATGGAGTCAGCGGAGATCTAGTTACCCCGCCCGGAGGATTCAAAAGAAGAATGGAGAGGCATTGTAGGTTTTTATTTTTGTTTGTGAGCTAGGAGGATTGTGTGAAGACATCTTGAAAGATTGAAGAAAGGATAAGGGATCAGATCATCGAGTGATGAATTTGAGGCCAAGCTTCGTAGTTTGGACGGAATACGATCATTCATTGATTCCATGGACTCTTCTATTCGCATCACGAGACGTTTCAAGTCCTAGGGCCCGTCTTAACGAGCCCCATACTTATATCTGACCCAAATTTTCATTTCCAAATCAACATTCATCAATCAAACTTACTAACAACCTTCCTCAAAGTCCCATCTAACCCCCCAATAACTCACACAATTCTTCTCGGCGGTACCAACGATCTAGCTTACAATAGACCCGTCCAAACTCTCTACGCCGTTTTTGAAACACTCATATTTACACCCCTTAGCAACTCTTCAAAAGTTTTGATTATAACAATTCCAGAATGTCATGTGAGAGCTAAGGTCTTAGACGAGAAGAGAGAGGAGTTAAATAATATGTTGGTTTATACTTTGGGGAGAAAGGATAACGTGTATGCTTTCCTCTCCCCTATCTTTTCCCAATACTGCATTCTTCTACGTTCAAATGAACGCTAGAACAGTTGGCAGGATACGATAAGGATGAATATAACACACTATATGCTAATCACCCCCAAATAAACAGTAGTACATTTGATCTCCGCGGCGCAATGCCCTACCACAACATGGAATTGGAAAAACGAGAACGTCTCTGGGACGATGGGTTGCATTTCACAGAGGAAGGATATAAAGAGATAGGAATTATGGTAGGAAAGAAAATGATTCAGGTTATCGAGGAGGTGAAACCTGAGAAGGAGATTTCATTGTCTGGGAGAGGGACTATGGGTATTGAGTAGCGGAGAAATTATATCAGCATCAAGAAGGTAATCATGGAAGTTGGAGTCTAGGGATCGTGAAATGGTTGATATCTGAGGTAGATAAATGGAAATGTGAATTGGTTGTAACTTGGCTGCGACCAGGTGGTAATTAGGCTCTTTACAAATAACGAACATGAGAAGATAGTATTCAACCAATCAGTAAATACAGGTTTTTCGCTCTTTGACCTTATCAGAATTGAAGAGTAATGTATGTCGAAATTCAAAAGTCACATAGGTGAGATAGCTAAGAAAAATTCGGAGATATATGAAGATGGCAGGATTACGACCGGCCAAGGTATCTATAACCTTAACAATGTTCATGAAGAGGGGAACATAATTCAAATGATTATGGGAGATGACTAAGTTTCGAATATTCTACTTGAGTGTATGCACTCTTGTGATATAAAGACTAAATACCTAGGAAGGCAGGAAGGGAAGTAAGAAACCAAAGCGAAGCTAAAAAGTCGTTTAAATGGCTAGTCTCTCAGCCACACTCAGCCGCTTTGATCAAAAACCACTTTACGCGTAAAAGGGAACGCGAACGCGACATCAGGTACCTAGTGGTTGCGGCTGTTTGTATTCTATCCACTTTTCTTTTTTACTCCGTTGTTTACACTTCCTGACCAGGTCAAAATCAGATCCACCACAACAACCAAATTCTTTTGGCATTGGACTTGCATAGCGTCATTAATTAGAACTCAAAATGTCGTCCCCTGCCGGTCGTCGGCAGCGCAATTCTCAATCTGCGACTCCCAGACGTACATCGGCGAGAAATTCACAAGCTGTACCAAGTAGTCCACCAGATCCCGCTGCTGCTCAACTTCAAAATGAAGCAGCCTCGTCACAAGGCGTTACAGGTACTCCTCGGCGGGGTATTATTCCATCGTCGTCGCCTATGAATTATCGATCTTCTCCAGCAGATGCTGCACGATTCAATAGAGAAATCAGCTCACCTCTGAGACAAATGACAAACACCCAGACAACAGAAGATGGCGATCGTACTCCAAGAGCAGGTGCTAGCGCACTCATCGGTGGTAGGTACTATGTTTACAAATTGATTGATACCGGCTGACAACAACAGACTCTTCACCCATCAGATACGAAGCAAGTTCTAGTCCTGGTAGAGCATATGCCAATGATCCTCAAACCAATATTCCAAGTGATAGCAGTGGCCTTTTCGTTCGCTCTTCTCGTTCCCAAGGTCCTGGATCTGCGGTCAATAATTCGCGAAGAGGAGATATTACTTCCGACAACCTTAACACACCCCGTGCGAGAAGACGTATTTTCATGGATGAAAGTGGTCGAATTGTAAGAGATATTCCACCTGAAGATGCGGAAGCTCCATCGTTCTCGAACCTCGATCCAACAACTTCAGATGCGCAAGCAATGGGAGGAAATTCTACACTTTGTATCTGGGGTACGAATGTCTCTATAAACGATACATTATCCACATTCAAGGACTTCCTTCGAAATTATACTAAAAAATATCGAATGTGGGGTGAAGGAATGTCAGAGGAAGACACCCAAGCTGATCCGGAATCAAACTCAAAGGAATACTTGGAGATGATGCAAAACATGTTAACTCTTGGTATCACAAGTCTCAATTTAGATTTTCACAATCTCAAGGCTTACCCTCCAACCAAGAAACTTTGGCAACAAGCACAGGACTACCCTCAAGATATTGTCACTCTTATGGATCAAGGTATCAAAGATGTGATGTATGAGATTGCGGAAAATCAAATGGCAATTCAAAGGCAATCACAAAGCTCCGCTGGACAGGCATCCGGAAGAAGCAGGATTCAAAGTTCAGAGCCCCCCGTTCCGAGTTCGGAGAGAAGCGAGCCAGAAGCTGCAACACCACGAGCACAAGATTCTAACGAAGTGGACTTGTGTGCGGAGGTACAAAAAAGGTCATATAGAGTTCGACCATTTGGATTGGACAAGACTATTAATATGAGAGAACTCGATCCATCCGACGTCGATAAGATTATTGCTATCAAGGGTCTCGTTATTCGAACCACGCCAATCATTCCAGATATGAAAGATGCATTCTTCAAATGTTCTGTTTGCAATCATACTGTCAAGGTTGATATTGACCGTGGTAAGATTGCCGAGCCTACAGAATGTCCCCGTCCGGTTTGTAAATCTCCAAATTCCATGCAGATTGTACACAACAGGTCTGGATTCATGGACAAGCAAGTGATCAAACTTCAAGAAACTCCAGATTCAGTTCCTGCTGGTCAAACACCCCATTCCGTCTCAATGTGTGCATATGATGAGTTGGTGGATCTTTGCAAAGCTGGTGATAGAGTTGAGATTACTGGTATCTTCAAGGCTAGTCCAGTTCGTGTCAATCCTCGCCAACGAACTCTTAAGAGTATTTATAAAACATACATCGATGTTTTACATATTCAAAAGGTTGACAAGAAGAGAATGGGAATTGATGCTTCGACCGTTGAGCAAGAAATATCCGATCAATTAACAGGCAATATTGAAGAAACTAGAAAGGTTTCCGAGGAGGAGGAAGAAAAGATCAGAGAAACAGCTGCGAGACCTGATATTTACGAACTTCTATCTCGATCCCTTGCACCTAGCATCTTTGAGATGGACGATGTTAAGAAGGGTATCTTGCTTCAATTATTTGGTGGAACTAACAAGTCTTTCGAAAAAGGAGGAAGTCCAAAATACAGAGGAGATATCAATATTCTATTGTGTGGTGATCCTTCAACTGCGAAATCTCAGATTCTTCAATACGTACATAAGATTGCTCCCCGTGGTGTATATACTAGTGGCAAAGGATCTTCGGCAGTCGGTTTAACAGCATATGTCACTCGAGACCCAGAAACGCGCCAACTCGTTCTTGAATCCGGTGCTCTTGTTTTGTCAGATGGTGGTGTTTGCTGTATCGACGAATTCGACAAAATGTCCGATGCTACACGATCAGTCTTACACGAAGTTATGGAACAGCAAACTGTCTCTATTGCTAAGGCAGGAATCATCACCACTTTGAACGCCAGAACAAGTATTCTCGCTTCTGCAAATCCAATTGGAAGTAAATATAATCCAAACTTACCGGTACCTCAAAACATCGATCTACCCCCTACTTTACTTTCCAGATTTGATCTTGTCTACTTGGTCTTGGATCGTATCGACGAGACTGCTGATCGTAGATTGGCTCGTCATCTTCTCAGCATGTACCTAGATGACAAGCCACAGAGTGCTTCAGGAGGAATGGAAATTTTGGTAAGCACATCTTCCTCAACTATGCACAAGTATAAAGCTAACAAATTCAGCCCATCGAGTTTCTCACTTCCTACATCTCATACGCTCGTGCAAAGTGTCAGCCACGCATCAGTCAAGAAGCATCTACGGAACTTGTTTCCGCCTACGTTGAAATGCGCAAACTGGGTGAAGACATTCGTGCCGCTGAACGTCGTATTACAGCCACTACTCGTCAACTCGAATCCATGATTCGTCTCTCAGAAGCTCACGCCAAAATGCGTCTTTCTGAAATCGTCACCAAAGAAGATGTTCAAGAAGCAGTTCGATTAATTAAGAGTGCGCTAAAACAAGCCGCTACAGATGCAAGGACTGGATTGATTGATATGAGTCTTTTGACAGAAGGAACTTCTGCAAGTGAGAGGAGAAGAAAGGGAGACTTGAAAAATGCAGTGTTGGGAGTAGTGGATGAAATGACGGGACCAGGTGGAAATGCTAGATGGACAGAGGTTGTCAGGAAACTTGGAGAACAAAGTAGTTTACAAGTTGATGCGGCGGAGTTTGGAGAGGCGGTTAGGGGCTTGGAATTAGAAGGAAAGGTCATGATTCTTGGTGAAGGGCCGAGAAGAAGTATTAGGAGGGTTACAGGTCAATCTTAGTCTAGGAATGGATAGGTGGTGTGGGTAGATTTATTGATGAAAATGATGTGTATGGCGTTGGGACTTTGTCTGTTTGGCTAGCTACGTATGATCTGATCTATTATGATATGATATGATAGTTGAGTAAAGGAAAGGTAGATATTCATTGATTCACGAGTAGAAGGATATGCAAAAGGTTGGTTGGTTGGTAGGTAGTACGAGATGAATAATATGATTCCCTGGGTAAAGGAGCATTTCTGATTCTGTGGTTCTTTGTCTCTTTATGTATCTGTCAAAATGTGTCTAGGTAGGTATACAACTTATCTATCACTCACGCATCTGGGAATCAGCGTCGTGAAGAATACCTAGATAGACAAGTAGACCTAGGAGTCTTCATCGAGCAGTAGATAAGTAGGTAGGTACTAGATGGATGGTTAGTTATTAGTTATGTATACCTACCTACCTATCCATGTAGACCCTCAATCTTACAATAAATTTCTATTGCTAATGTTTTTTGGATTTTGTCCATCAGGTAGAGGGTAGAGGGTAGAGGGTATACAGCGATATCTCTTACTTGAAGTTACTATCTTGGATTTTGGAAAATGAGATTTATATATGTCAATATAGATAGGTGGATGGGTGGATAGATGAATAGATAAATAGATACATAAAATTCCAAACATCCGAATCCACTAAACAGAATAATTGAACTCTATCCACAAATCTCTTGATTTATAATATAAACATACCTAGATAAACAATTTCAATTCAATAACCACTGTATAAAACTCTAGATAAATATAATAATAAAAACTAGCTCTTTCAATAGTATCTATATATGCTGGAGGCCTACTCCTTTCTATTCATAGCTAGCGAGCTCTTCAGATATAATGTAATATATATATTTAGGTTTAGGACCTGGATACGTGGGTGCTATGTTTTTCGTATCCTTCTTAAGTCTGGTGAATTAATATTTATAGCTGGGTGGGTATTAGGGTAACGTGATTTATCATCGAGTGGACTATATCATTGAGTGGGCCATCATTTTTACATACAAAATTCGTTTGTATATAACCATGCACTTTCTTTATTTATTAATAGAATTTTTTAAAAATTAAAAATATGAAATTTAATTATATAAATACTACAAAAATCTTATTATTTATTAGAAATTTGAATTAATATAAGAATTATTATTAGGAATATTTTTTTGTAACGAAAATCGTAATAATTTTCACTTTTTTTAATATAAAATAAAAATATTAATATAAAAACTAGATTTTTAGAAAACTAATCTTTTATTATTATTTAATCTTTTTTTCTTTTTCTAAAATAATAATTAGTTATTAAAATACGAATATTCAAAAAGCCTTAATTTTGATGTATTTTGAAGTGGCCCACTCGATGATATGATCCACTCGATGATAAATCACGTTATTGTGTTATTATGTTATGTTGTTATATCAGTTATGAATATCTTTTGTAGTGAGATTATATAGTATAAGATGGGATGGGATGAGATAGAATGAGATATAATAAACTAAGATAATATACAATAAGATAAAATAAAATAAAATAAACAAATCCCCAATCCACAAGTTTATCTATAGATAAACCACCTTTAACTCTAAGATGTTCCAACACCTAAACTATAAATAACTAGAAAACAACACTCAGCAAATCAAAATCTACCACTCAGGTAAGTTCAATCTCTAAGTCTCTATTCCTTCAAAAATCCAAAAATTATTCTATATTATTCTATTCCTCTTTAATCTTACATTTTCTTCAATTTCCTTTTTAAAAATTCCGTTGTTAATATATACTATTCGATCAATTTCCTATTAATGAATAAATCTAAAAATTTAGGTATGTAGGTATGTAGATGTGTAGGTGTGTAGGTGTATAGATATAATAAATGTGCTATTCGCGATGTTAGTTAATGATTTGATGTTTTTGTATACCTACTTATCTACTAAATATGATGCAAGCTTGCCGTTTCGACGTTGTTGTGATTGTGATTGTGATTGTGGATGTGTTGTTTGTATCTAGATGAGGTATTTTTATTTTCCTTCTGATGGGCTGTTGATCTTGATCTGTTGTAGGTTGGGACCTGGAGGTTCGGATTTAGAAGTTAGAAGTTGGGAGATATGCAAGTGTGAGGCGGTGGTTGGCTGGAGTTTTTGTGTCTTGATCTGAGGGCGAGATTGTTCTTCGGATCTGCTTCGTATCTATAGAGCCATCCGAGGATCCTGAGATGCTATGTGTGTGTGCGTGTGTGCATGTGTGAATATGAGGTAGGTGGGGTTTGTGAGTTCGCAAGTATATCGATTCATACCAGCAAAACACAACAATCTTCTGCTATATCACAAGTTCATCTCACAAAACCACTCAAAGAAATACATCCTCTTCTCTCACCCCAACACCAAATCCAGCACTTTTTTCTCTCTCCTTCTCTCCCATACCTCTTTCGCCACATACCCACTACCCCTTCGATACGCAATAACGTTTTTCCACTCCACCCATAATACATGATAACAATCTTGACGCGTCGTGTGATCAGGAACCCAATCTTTGACTTCTTTTTCCTCCTCGCCACTCTTCGTGTTGACGCCAAACCAGCCTTGAGAAATAGCAACAAATTCAACGAGAGCCCCAGTCATTGCGTTTTGCGTAAAATGAGCTGTCACTTTCACACATAAGCGTTAAGAAACTCACAACTTCTCCATTCGAACCTTGAAGCTTGACATTTGTGAAACTGATATTATCTTTTAGTTTAGATGAAGACGAAGATTGTGTTTCTGCTATTGTAGAAATATCTGAGATACCATGTATGAATGCTCTCGATGTTTAACAGTAGAGAAATTGCGTGTGCAGCTGTACAGGGTGTTGTTTTTTCGAGTCTAGAACGGGAATCGGATATTTGTACCATCGATCAGGAGAGTTTGAATGCCAATAGGCATATTTCTGGCCGTCACCCGAATACGCAAATGTGCTTAGATGCGCAGGGTCACCACAGTCCCAGCCAAATCGAGTGCGCATCCATCCTTCAAGAGGTACCTGCTTGATATTTTCGGCTAAAATCTTATACTTATACCAAGTCGAAGTAATCTGTCGTCTATTTGTTGATTTGGTATGGTCCATTGTGTACCATGTGGTAACAGGTTTTTGAAAGCCTTTTACATATTCAGCTCTCTTCCACGAAGTAGCTTCAAACTCGCAATCGTCTGTAAGCCTAGCGCCTACTTGCCATCCAAGGAATGACCAACTTGGAAGCTGTGACATTTCTTTCCTGATCGAGTACCGTCTCTCTCCAAAACCAATTGGATTCCACATCAACCCAATCTCAAAGAAGAGTTCAGGGATACCGTACAGTAAACCGCCTTCAAATATCTGGCTGAGTCCCCATTGAATGCCAGAAAACGCCGCTAAAGCATCACCAGGAGATGTGAGATTTTTCTGATTGAACTCCCGTAATAGAGAGTTCATGTTTTTCCTATCTGGAAAGGTGGTATCTACAAATAATTCCTGAGGTAAGAGTAAATCGATTTTTCGCGCCTTGTATGGTTTTATATCGGGGATCAATTCCTCACTCCAAGTAGATGCGCTGCATTCCCAATAAACGGTTCCATTTTCAAATATAAGACGCCGTTTGGCACCAAGGTATTCTTGGTGAGTCCAAGCGCGTGAGTGATATACATAACTAGTCTTTCCAATTCTGTTTCTGTGGTCGATCAACTTTATTGGTGGTGTCATAGACATTACGTTTTGTTTGAAGTCTCGTTGGGGAGTAATTCCTTTGAATCCTCGAAGCCCATGGTTGGCGCCAATGCCATCGGCAGCTACGATTGTAATACCTGAATGGAGTAAGCTAAATTCGGACCACCGAGGTGCGATCTCCTGATTAAGAGAATCAAACTCACAAGAAGTGGTGTATACTCTAGCTATAGAGTTTAACTCGGTTTGCAAAGTCTCCGCATCATCTTGAACAATACATAATGTATCAGCCCATAAGTACCGCTCTCCAATTAGCCTAACAACATCAATAGCATTTTAGATCGTCATGGGTAACTTACCTGCCACAGATCCTTTTGATAGAACTCCTGACTATTGTAGCAGATTGATGTTACTTTTCCCGCTGTTAAAAAGTGCAGTGTCCCCCCGAACATAGCTCAATGTAAGGAATCTTGAATGCTCACGACCAGGCACAAGACATCCAGCCACAGTATCAATCAACCACGTCGGTTGGATTGCGTCCATACGCGTGAGTTTCCCAGGATACTCACATGCAGTTCCATGATTTTTATCACACAAATCTTTCCAATTCAGAATATCCCCTCATCAATCCAGAAAGGATCAAGAATACGTGCACGTCTCGAATGTGGATATTCATCATTCTTCTCACGAACGAATTCAAAGTGCCGTCCTAATGAACCTGTCTCCTTCCGACTTGGTCTGAGCACTATAGATGATGCACTTTTAGACATGCTAATTTTCAACTTGGAGAAGTTTTGAATCGCGGGGCCATCTGGGTCGAGTTTTGTGATCCATCTTCGGTGTGGACATTCCGTGTCGATTAGTGAGGAAACAGTTCCTAATATGGCAATTTGTTGTCTAATACCTATGTCGGAGAATTCAATAATTCGTTCACATGTTGCGCATGTCGTTAGTGTTTCGCTCATGATGAGTAGGTAGTGAGCGTTCTCGATCTGCTTGAGTCGTCATCTAAAATGGTATGTAGTCTCTGAATTGTGTGTATAAACTGCATGTGATATGGAAAGCAAGTTAAGTAGTCGAAGGCTACTGATCAGAGATTGCACATTTCTCTCCGAGCGCAGCGGCACCACAAGATGTATATTTTAGAACCAGTAAAATTTGATTTCGAAAAGATACCCTGAGGTGACGTGTGATGTTGGTATCATGTGACACAGGTGGACCAATCACTTTGAGGAATATGTTTTCTTCATAATCGTTCGATGACATCTCATCTTATTTCGTTTCGTCGCTTCACTTTACTTCACTCCACTCCACCCCACTCCATTTCTCTACATCTTACCTCTTCAACTCTCACCTCATCACACCTCACTCCTTAAACTCTTCAACCCTCACCTCTCCTCCAAATATCTCTATCTTATCCATCCACTCTCTTCCACTCCCCTACATCTCACCTCCTCATCTCACCCCTTACTTAAAACTCACCCCCTCCACAAATCATCACAACTAGGGAGGTAGAATTCACAAATACCAAGATATCTAGATAGATAGATAAACAATCACCACTTCAAAGTCTCTTATTATCCAATTCTACAATTTGCTCTACATTCTCCTCATCCTCCTCCTCCTCCCCCCCTTTCACTCCTTCTCTCTTCCGACACCCCTTTCCCACACCCCAATATATTACCACATCCATACACCGGCCCCCATAAACACAACATACCCCAGCACACCCTAGTACCTCCACAAATTCCCTCTCCAAAAATTCCATCTTTTTAGCCTCCCATTCTCCCATTTTTCCATTCCAAACGCCATTAAGCAAAAAAACCACACCTCGTCACACCACACCAAGCCCATCAAACAAATTAACTACATCGAAAATCTTCCACTATACTTACTACTAGGTATTTCAAAATAAGTATAAATGTACTGTAGACCGATAAATCTCCTTCATACATGCATACATACATGAATATAATATGCATTCATCGATTCGTCCATTAAATACAACCTCCATTTTGTAGCTTAGTGCAAGAATTGCAAACAGCATTCCATCATCCGCGCGTCTAGAAGAAGAAATCTTTAATTCGACTTCATTACCCCCGTAATCAAATCCTCACTCGCTATCCAGCAGTGGTCAAGACATAACTTGTAATAGCACTCATCCTCTCACTTGTCAACTTCAATCCAATCCTCAATAATTCCTGAGCGACTTCCTTATCCTTTTCTTGCAGATCCTCCCAATCCTTTTTATCCATCAACCATGCCACACAATCCCTCTCCGCCACAACTGTAGCCGTACGATCAGTTTCCGAGAAAAATGGTAGTTCTCCACATGTCGTCCCAGCAACTATACTTTCAAAGTAGCGACCCTGAGGTAATTCGTAATCAGCACGAAGAATACCTTCTTCAAGGAGATAGAAACCCTTTGCAGGTTCGCCACGACGGTAAAGTGTTGTGCCTGCGAGATACTCTTTACGGGTAAAGAACGGAATGACACGGAACCAGAAATCTTCATTCTTGTTGGTGAGACCTTGGAAAGTTTGAAGGATTAAGCGAAGGGGTTCTTTGAAATTAGAATATTTAATGTCAGGTACGGTAGTTTCTTCCAGAGCATTAGTAGCCATTCGGAAAAGTTGACTACGTCTTGGAGAACTGAATTGAGTATCGAAAGAATGTGAGAATGATTTGCCGCGACTTCGACTTGAGGGCACTTCTAGATGATCGGTTGCGCCATTGCGGTTGGCGCGAGCTTGTTGACTGGCATAAAGTGTTTTCAATAATTCGTTTTCGCAACTCTCTAATGCAGAATTAAGATCTTGAAATAAGGTCACTTCGTTACCATCATCAATAGCTAGGCCTTGACCAAGACCAACGGATCTAAGATGACTTCCTATAGGACCTTCTGGATCCACACCGCTAAGAGATAAAGTGACACCCTTCTTGCTGAAGATTCGATTTAATCGTAAAAAGGCCTCGGCAGCAGAATAATCAATTCCTGTAACATGGTAGAGATCAAATATCAGGAAACGGATTGGTCTTTCGGTGAATGCTTCATCCTCGACCAAAGCACGAATACGTTCCTCGACACTGACGATGGTACCAAAGAAAAGATATCCAGCCAACTTGGTGACATGAATTTGCTGGCCCACGTCTCGAAGGTAGCGAGACTGAGTAGCGTTCCTACGAACAGTGGATCCAGCTATCTCACCTGAGTAAGATGCTCTCACTGCGGGGATTCTAGATGTCTGGACTACCAAGGATACAAACGCAAGACCAATACCCAGGAAGATTCCAGCAACGAAATCATAGATACCCATGGTAATGACTATTATGCATACCTAAAAGGAGTTAGCTTTCATCTGAAGGTGGCAAACTCAAATGTAATGAGAAACCGGAGCATGTTTAAACTTACTGTCAAATACTCAAGGGGCTTCAACTTCTTCCTTGGTACCCACACAGCCTCAACCAAAAGTTCGAAACCAAGCACAAAGATGAGAGCCCCAACCATCATAACCGGGATGTACCCGATTAAGATTAGTCCATACATCAAAATTACAAATGTGGCAGCAGCAAGTAGAATTCCAGCTAAACGATTACCACCTGATCTCATAAATAGGATGGAGTTGGTATAGACCAAATAATTCTGAACACTTCCTGCAAATCCAGATAGCATATTGGAGATGCCATGTGCAATTAGTTCCCGATCCAAGTTAAGATGGTCCTCACCAACGTTGATGGCCAATGCTGGAACATTGATAGGAACATGCAAAAGTCCAAAAAATGTCAAAGCAAACATAGCAGGGACCGTTTCGAGAATAGCATCCCAACGAACGAGGTGAAATTTGTACAAGGTCCAGAAATACCACCATGGTTCATCAGCTTCAGGACCTTCAAAAATCCAGCCATTTCGACGTAAATTGGGTACTTCTAGTTCATCCAATGAGAGGACAAAAAAGTAGAATACTGCTGGAATAGTCATGATAACAGCGGACAAATAAAATTTCGAGGTAATTTTAGTTTGCGACCAGACAATGAAAAGAGCAATGGAGAAAGGAATGACCCATAGGGCAATTGTATCTGGCTCGAACATCTTGTGTAGAGTGTTCATGTCATAATTCAAATTTCCATCAAGGCGTGCTGTAACCTCAAATCCAGTAGCAATGAGGAACCAGCCAACGCCACCAATGCATCCAATGAGTATATGTCTGGGAATAAATCCAACGATGTAACCAAAGCCACAAGTTCCCATTAAGAAGAATACAATACCTGTTAAAATGGAACTAATCGCATATGACGTGATCGTTGTCGCGATGACGGCTTCAGGATTATCTTCGCCAACCACTTCCATTATCGTAAACGCCATTTTGTGAAAAAATGGCACAACTTCTATCATTTCACTACCAATACCTCCTTTGAATGTACTCATACCGCATGAGAACACCAATTGCGAAATGATTGTACTCACGTAGAATATAGAGATGCCAGCAGCACCTAGTTTTTCGAAAATTGGTTGTCCTAGAGGAAACAAGATCTACAGCAAAGAAATATTAGCATTGATTCTTATGATCTTAATAAAGGCATTCAGAAGTCACTGAGGAATAATTTGCGATGAAGTGTTGAAACGGTAGAATGAGAGGTGAGAGTAACGGTGGAAGCGAACTCCAAAATTGGAACCCACGTCACCATGTCTCGGAATCGTGACAAGCTGCAATAAATAGTGAAAAAAAAACATACCATCCCATATGATAATGCATCCAGAATATTAAGCAACATTCCCAAAAGTACTGATGGAAGAGATTGAGCGGGTGCAATAACACAGTTCTGCCATATCGCCATTCTATCCCAGCGCTTGGGGTTGAGTGCAGTTTCGACAACGACCGTGCCTCGTTCCCTGGTTGATTTCAGAACATTCCGTAGCTTTGGCCAAGATGGACTTCTGGACGTCTTTAAACCTTCGAGATCATGATCCCCTCTGATCCAATCGGGGTGAGAATGTGAAGATGAGACTTTGGACAACAAGGGTGTACGTTCCGACGAGTCCATCTTGACGCCCTGCGATGTAATTATGAGGCGGCCGTCTCTCGAATTGGAATCGCCTTGTTCATTCTCAATGGCCCCATAGCCCAAGGTTCCATTTTCATTCGGCAGTGATGTACTAGGAGGAGAAGTTCTCAGCATGTTCGTTATGGCAGATGCGCTATGCGGAAGGCTGCTTGTGGAGCCTTCTTCTGGGGTAACTGGCTCAGACACTTCTTCTATCGTTTCGTGACGTGATTGTTCGATATCTCGATTTGATCTTGACTCGTCTTCGCCTCCATTGAAGTATGAATCGAGGTGCATCTGATGGTTTGTGCGTGTTCGGGTCGGGGAGGGAGGACCTGGGGCTGGTGTGTCGGACAGGGCATATGACGCAAGTTCGGCCGTATCTTCTCTAACGCTGCGGGCATACTGTGCGCTGTCTACAAGGACTATGACGATATCAGATCATATTCACTTTCGATGAGCCATCGGAATCTATCAGGTAGTACTTACCTGGATCTCCACGATAGGAGAGATGAACGAAGGAACGTGTAGGCTGGTATTGGTGTGAAGCGCTGGAAGTATTAGTGTGTGAATTCTGCTGTGCAGATTGGCCTCGAAAGGAACCGTGATTCAAATCGGATGGCAGATTAGAGAGACCATCTTGCGAAGCCGAAGCATGAGGGATCAGACGGGGACTTGAGTATGATGAGACGGAATCTCCACGACGCCGGGATGGCGCAGCGGCCGGTGAGGGGAATGACATTATTTCCAATTCCAATGGCTATGTACAAGCTAAAGAGTAAAGGTAGGTATGGACGGTATGTGTATGTATGTGTATGTGTATGTGTAAGTTGTATGGTAAGCTATATTCCAAATTCCGTATCTGCCTCACGCTCGCAGAGCGCCAAAGCCAGGACTACGGGGAAGAATAATATAATGATGTAAATGGAATTTGACGAATGAAAATGAATTATGAAAAAGATTGGAAAGTCTAGATAAGATGTTTGCTACTAAATTTTTAGTTTCCTCTTAGTTCACTTGTAGTTTGATGGGTGGAAAATCTGGGAATTCCCTTGTATGAGAATAATTGGGTTTGAGGTGGAGCGGAGATATCAAATTGAATGAACAAATGAAACTTTATTGTGAGTTTGTGAGGATGTTAAGTTTAGAATAGAAATAGAATATAATAATAGTTTAATGATCTAAGATCTAGTATGAATGAAGGTTTTCCCAAGAGCACATTGAGAGAATGAGAAGAGAGTATCAAAGAAATGTATGTAGTAGGTATGTAATGTGTATGTAATGTGCATGTAATGTTTGCGTGCTCACCTATCTCTCTCTCTCTCTCACACTCTCTCATTGCAAGAATTTCTTTTTTTTCCTATTAGCTAGGGGAAGATAGCTTTTCCTGGATCTGGAAGACTGGGGAGGGATGCCTCGGACGCATTGCATTATTATAGTTTGCATATCAAGGACGACAGTACTCCAATGACAATTGACATTCTCCACTTATACCTTGACCACAGAGACGCAGGTAACAAGTCCGTGAAGCCGTTCACGCCGTTCAACTCTCCAGCAAGTTCTTTCTCACAAAGTCTCGAACACACCTTGTCGTCAAACCCTTCTCTCCCCTGGGGAAGTTTCTCATCTGGATCAAAATTATCTGATCAATCAGCGAACAGTGGCTCGAAATGGTTAGAAGGTGGGGTCAGCGTCACTACCGGAATGTTTGCCTTTGGCCTTGATGTTACCACTTTTCGCCTTTGACATATTAAACCAGGATTCTGAATTCGGTATCCCATTCTCACCAATCGTTCGATATGTGCGGAGTATGCATTCAGTGTTGCAGGTACGAGAGAGAGAGAGAGAGAGAGAGAGAGAGAGAGAAAGTGGTTTACGATGTATGGGTATTGTTATTAGAAGAATTTATATCTAATTCAAACACTTCTCGGTCTCTCTATATCTGTTGTATCTACTATCAGAGCACCTACCCATATACTCCTCTAGATGTCCATTCGATCGATCAATCAATTACCTTATAATCATCCCTCATCATTCAATACCTACGAAGTACTATCTACCTTCCCTCAACTCAAACATCATGTGACTGCACCCGTCGCTCTTACCCCTTCATTTGCATGTGGTATGGTACTTGTGGTAGGTAGTGCGAAAACGGCTTCTTTTACGCCACGAACCACAGCCAGTTTTTGACCATGCAGGTGCTCGCCATGTTCTTCTGTTCGCTTTCGGTTTCACTATTCCTACTGTATCTCCATATATTTTAGTTGAAAGGGTACTAGAAACTAGCCATGGAAATACAGATTAATCAACATCTATTTATCTATCTATCTATCTATCCATCCATCCATCCATCCATCCATCCATCCATCCACTAGCTACATACTCCATACTCCATACATTCCACCCCACTACAAACTGACATATCCATCATTAATCAACCCAATTCACATAAGGGTCCATTCTAAGCACCCCATCTACGTCTCCCCCTCCTGAATAAGCATCTAGTAATCTTATTATCATTAACTATACGACAGCTAAAAGCAGTAGTATTCCCAGTATAAATTCCCCAATATAAAAATCAGCGTTCCAATAACCTAATCATCTTTGGGTGAAGCCAAGATATGAAATCATAATCTGGAGACGACAATCAACCTGTCAAACCGATGCAGGCCGAATAATCAATCTACAGTGTGACTGCAGCAAGTAAAAAAAATTTCATTGTACGACCCGATGAAAAATTATTCCCCTCAAAAGCCACCGTGCCATTGAAAATTTTCATCAAGACCAATAGGACCCTCCCAATTCAACTCGAGATTTGCATCATTCGGTCATGAACTGAATCCTTCAATACGAACATCTCCTGCCAGACTGATACATTCAAAAAACCCCTTCCATTCAATTTACCCCGCGAAAAGCTTGGTTACCGAAAGTTTTGGTCTTGTATCTCACCTGATCCTATACAATAGTACATCAGTTCCCCGCGTGGTATTTATGTAGTAATAGAAATAACAAGATAATTTCGTTCCAATTGTACAGTCCTCGTCGTCTTTTCTTACGACTATCACCATTTTAGGTCCGAATGAGAATAGGGGCCCACACAAATCCACATCTTTCCGGCACCGGCTGCACCGGGTCTCTCGTCCGTGGACTGGGTTTCGTGGCAGATCACAAAGCCGCGTTGTTCCTGTGTGGAGAGTATGTGCTTCTGGACCTCATATCTTCAACTGACTGTGGCTCCGTTCACCGTCCGTAAATGTCTCATGGATGTCTCTCCTCCGTCAGTTTGACGAGTTTTCCCTAACTCCGCCGTTACGATTAAGTCCACAATTGTTGTTGTGGTTGAAGCTCGTAATTAGCTGAGTTTTTGAAGGTATCCTTGTGCGATCAAACGTTCAACGTCCCCTTGGCGGACATAAAATTGCGAATTTTTGGTAAGGTTGATGGTACTGCATTATGATCATGTCAATGAACCTCCATCTAATTGGTGTGCCATTACTTACCCATATTCTGTCTGGATTTCTCCGGCATCCTTGAGGACCCGAACATCAATGAACAAATCTCTGGGTGGTTCAAGACTGCCAGTCAGATCAATATCGGTCCAATGTCCTTTGAACGCAGCGAGCAAATCACTATATTGCCTGACGTATTCTTCCTCTTCCGGGCTTAGACTACTGGTGTTCCCCTCACCATTTCCTAAATCAGTCCCTCCGTTCTGCCCCTCACTTGTAATGCGATGTTGCTGTGCAGCGAGATCCAAAACATCACTGCCATTCCATACCATTTCTTCAAGCTTGTCGGTTCGTGTACGATGATATGCGAGGAGACATCGTTTGTTCCTTCGCATACACAGGTGATCAACGAGGAGAGTGCATGCTGTCGCAGGGTCGGCAGATGGATCGAACGAGCCACCGATAGATTGTAAAATGTTCGCAGCATCTTTGTCTAAGTCTCTAACCTCTCTAGTCACTGCGCGAACCATTTCAGTCTGATATGGAGGAAGATGTTCGAGTTTTTGAGTTCTTTTGGCATGTTGAACCTGATCATTGATTAGAAGAATGATTCATAGTTGACAGTGTATTAACTTACCAATTTATTCCCTATATCTCCGTACATTTTCGATGATCTGCCTTGTTCAGTTGTGTATCAAATCTCAGCCTAGATATCCCTGAGTTAATTTGAGTATCATGTCCTCATTATCGCGTATCACATATTTGAAGTCGCGTAGAGCAAAATGAACCAATTGACCCCTCCAAAGTTACGGTAGAAAAAAGTGGACCCTGATGGATAAATTAGTTTTACCTTGGAACTTCAAAGTTCAAATCGACTTCCTCCTTCATTTCATATTTTGTCCATTTTCATGGTCGTACGATTAGGCAATGATTACCAATGTATAACTGAGCTGTACCAATGAGAAGTTTTTGATTAGGTATAGATTCATGTCTGGCATTCAAGGTACATCACAAGAGAGTGACACAAAGTTGGACTGGAACGGCAATCTGCATGATACAATGTCTTTGTTAAAGCTCGACTGCCCTCCTTATTAGACAAACCCCTTGTCCACGATTACATCCTCAAACATATACAACACAGCAAGACATGGCTAATGACTACATTGCTTCGTGAAAGTTCCACGGGAAGAGTTATTAAACAGGACATTCCTCATACCAGCTCTACATAAATTTGGCTGGCTTTGAGATACGACGTCCAACCCTATCTACATACATCATGGGGCAGATTTATGTTCTCAGCAGTCGCCGAACTTTTCCATACAGAAGGAAATTGACAGAAGATTGAACCACACCACACTAGTACTCCGAGAAATGCAAATAACGAAAACCTCCTTCTCCATACCCAATGCGTTGAACGAATCCATCCTGTACACGAGCGACCACCCAAACTCCATCAATACATTAGAACATTCTATTCCTCACCAGCTCCCATCCAGTTATCAAACTCTCGACCACTATCCAGCGTTTCAATCTGCCATCCTTCTTGATGTCCTCGCAAAACATCCATCTGTTGATCATGAATTTGTCCTTTGTCGACATGCTGTTCGGGGAGATATTGAAGAGCAGGATCCATCTCTCTATCATTTATTCCGTACCCAGCTTGCCATGCCTGCTCTGATTCATGATTACTACCAAAATACACTCCATCAGGATGACCTTCATGATAATTGTTATTCTCGTAATGACCGTGGTCTTGAGTCATCAAAGAAGGATCTATTCTGAAATCCGGCTGAGGCGAAGGTGTATAGTGAGGTTGCGGGTGCATGATATCGAAATCTTGTCCTCCCGGAATACTAACTTGATACGAATGAACACCTGGAGCTGGCGTCTTTTTGATGATGACATCTTCAACGCCGGCTACTAAGGGGTTACTTTGAATGGTCTGCTGATAGTATTCTCCAGGTTGCATACCTGCTTGATTGTACTGAGCAGGAGGCTGCTTTCCCGGATTCGCAATTTGATACGAGGATTTGTTATAGTTGGCATAATTTGGCTCCATAGAATGTTCGCGCGAAGAGTAGTGGTAAGCAGATCTGGTTGTAGGATACATGACGGGCTGTTGCTGCATGGGTCTCTGTTGATTGCGAAGATTCCGTCTCTTCTTTGACTGACCTCCTCCTTGCCAATCGAAATCAGTCAAATCAGAATCATCAGAAGCAATGTCTTCAGACATCTTCCTTTTAGCTGCTTTACCAGCACCAGGTTTTGTTGGAGAGAACTTGTATCCCGGATGCGCGTTCTGATGATTGATACGTTCAATCCTGGCCCATTCACTGAACTGCTCTTTTACAGCATCGGGTTCCAATGGCCAACTATCACCACAGACTTGCGAAACAACTTGATGGTTATTTTGTAGGCACCAATCTTTCGTTCGGTTCTGATATGCTTTGCGATAGAGCATGAAGGAATTCATTGGTCTCTTGACTTTCCCTGGCACTTTACCCTCATCTACCTCCCGTCGTCTCTCGTCGGCCGACCTATTCACGTATGTTTCGATATCGGCAACTGGAACATGTTTCCAATCTTTGGTGAGTTCACTCAACGGTTTATCCAATTTTGCCACCTTCTTCTCAGCCTTCACCTTCTCCTTCTTAGCCTTCTTCATTTTTGGCGATTTCTCTGCTCGATGACGTCCCTCAGGTATGGGTCTCAAAGTTTGATGTCCACCTCGTTGACCTGTAAGGCCACTTCTCGTTCTTATCATATCTTGGGATGGAGGAGTGGGCGAACTGGCTGGTGTGCTGTATTGATCATGATACATGGGTTCCTGAAAATCATGATACTCCTAATTCTACAATTAGTTTAGGAAGGCAGACACAAGTTGTTAAGTAACTCACATATTGAATTCCCAATCCAGAGTCTTGGTGTTGATGCTGGTATGGGTAGCTAGTCTGCTGCGGTCTGCGCATGTATTGATCTTCATGCGAAATGGGTGATTCGTAATGTGTCTGCATGTGAATACCTTCATCTGGATCGTATTTTGGTTGCGGATAAGATGTATTGGCGTTATGCGCTACCAAATGATGAAGATCGTGTTGAAACATTTCGCTATTCCTTGACGGTGGTGGTGATAAGGTCATGGTTTTTGCTGTTAGGAAATTTGGAACTTTTGGTGAAAGAGGCAGTTGTACTTCGGAGAAGTAGGGCTGCCGGCTTATAAAGGACTTTCTACCAGTGTAGAAGATTCACCATAGATCAGCTTATTATTGAAGGTGAAATGCCCGACGTCACAAACTTTATGACAATTAAAGTGAGGTGAATTCTTCTCCAATCTGTTTTCAACAATATTGTCGGATTGTTGGAGCCCCGCTTTCGACTTGTGTCTGTGGCTCTGTGATGAAATATATGGATTACTTGCTATTACTTTCGCTATTGTTGATGATGAATGTCTCCCTAACCTCGGACAGAGAAGGATTGTAAGAAGCAAGTGAGACCCAAAAGACGTTCCTTTTCAAAGTTCTGGAAACTCCAAAGAAGTTCTTTGGAGAGTAAATGGTTCATCTGAAGTTCCAATATTAGGTTGAGGTCTGAGAAATTGATTCAAGTGGGACCTTTTTCTCTTTTCTCTCAGGACCGTGCAGTATCAAAAAGTTTGGGATGAACCTGTGGCTTCCTGCAGACCGCGCCGTCTTCCCTTCGGAGGCTTATGTTCTGGAACCGTGGTGTCAAGCAAATTAGATGTAAGTGTCCAGTGATGAGTACCCCTGGTCGTGATGCAGAGGCTCTAATGTTGCTACGGTATCAAAAAAATTATTATTTTCTTTGTCTTGATGTTGCTGCAGCTGTGCTGAGTTGTTGTTGAAGTAAGCAATGAAATCTGACTTCCATACAACACGATAATCCAGCCGTGTAAGAGTCTTTGTTTTGAAAGAGTTAAATGAAGAGAAAGGATTTGATCCGGTCTTTATGTATTCGAGAGATGGGTGTTGATGAAAGCTAGTGAAGAAATTGAGTAAAGAACCGTTTTCAGCCAATCACTGCTTTCGATCACTTTGTATATTTTCATACATTTTCACGAAGGCTATCTACAAACCTTCCAGAAGCACATCTTAATTTTTTTCTATCATGGATTGCATTCAATTGTTAAAGTGTCTATTCTCTAAATCCTTTGAAAATGAAAATTAGCATGATATGATGGTTGTATTTGTCTCGGAAATTTATATTATAGATGTTGTATCATAATGTTACCTCGGATTTTACCACGCCATCAAATGCTCAATTCAACTTAATTATGCCCATCACACTTACGAATAAAAACAAAATCACTTATTACATGTCGAGGTAAATCATACAAACAAACATTTTACGGATAGATTGAGTATTCCACGAACAAATGGTAAGTGCACTTCCCCACCAGTTCATGCACATGTAGGTACACAGGTAGGTAGATGACATTTTCGCAATCGCGAATAGATGGATAGATCGATTGCCAAGCTAGCAAGTAGTAAGCAGGAAGTGCATATTTCAGCGGCAAGCAGATCTACTTCAACTACAGATTGAATAGAATAGAATTACACAATAGGTCTCTGTGTTTCTCAGTAGTAGTAGCGCGGTAGTTTGGTTACGGGATTCAAGATGCGGGGAGGTGCGGCAAGTTGCGAGGAATGTGGTGGGTGGGGTCTAGGGCCTGGATCTAGGGTCTGGGTAGAAGGTAGAAGGTAGCTTGGATTGGATTGGGTTCGGTTGGTTGGTTACAGGAAATGGTGGGTTGGTTTGGGGATGAGGGAGGGGAGGAGGGAAGGAGGGAGAAGGAATGTGCTGTGGAATGTGGAATGGAGGTTTTGGGTTAGTGGATTCTGAGTTAGTAGATTAGCGGTTTGTGGTTAGTAGAGTTGGAGTTCTTTATTGAGCTGGATTGTGGGGATGGGAGTGAGGTGAGGGTGACAGTAAGGTGAGGGTGTGGATAACGTTGAAGATAGATGGAGATTTCAATTTGTACTATTTTTTCTGTGGGAGAGAGGGAGGTTGGATTTGAATCGCGGTTTTGATTGATTGATCGATTGATTGATTGGCTGAATGACTAACTGATAATAATGACTCCTGGGGAAAAGCAGTAATGATATAATGGATAAATGATGGAGCGAATTTTGATTCGCGTTGTGATGAGATGAGATGATTCATGGAACTTCTTCCTGTTGACTACTATCTAGTATGCTATATAGTTGGGTTGGTATCTTAGTATCGGAAGTGTGTGTGTAGTATGCCGGTCTTGAAGCACGCCGTTTATCTATTTTTGATGGTTTGTTTCGATCATTCTACAGTCTACAGTCTCAATGCTAGAATCAGAATAATTCTACGAGGTAATAGGTAAATAGACAAGTAGCTAAGTAGCAAGTGGATACACTGGTAGAGAGGTATGGCTAGTATGTTTGTACGTACGTATGTATGTATGTATGTATGTATGTATTTACGTACCCGTAAATCTGGTTAGTACCTACCTACCTACCTACCTAGTGAAAGATTAGTTCGCGGCTATCGTTATCGCTATCGGGTGGCTGCATTAGTTTCATTTCGTTTCATTTCATTTTATTTTCATTCGGAACATTTGTTTGGTGAGGAATTGTTTCATTCATTCATTCATTATAACTAGGTAGGTAGGTATGTAGGTACTTACTTCCGGTTCGAACTTCGGTTCGGTTCGGTTGCGTGGGTGGAGTGGGGAAGGGAAGAGAAGGGAAGAGGGGAATGGAAAGGGATTGATTGATTGATTGATTGATTGTAGTCTATCGGTCTATTATAAAGATGGAAGTGTTGAAGGGATGAATGAATGAATGAATGGTCTTTTTGATTATTTTTTGGATATGTTTTTGATGGGTTGGGGAAACAAACTTTGGATGGATGAATGAACGAATGAATGATAGAATGGAAGGGGGTTTGTTTATCTCTAGCCATTTCCTCTTTCTTTTCTTTTTCTGTTATGGTATGGAAGCTTTTTGGAGTTTCATGAATGAAAGTGGAAGGGTGAGTTTCATTCATATATTCATTCATATATTCATTATTCAGACGCTCATTTATCTATCCATCTATCCATCTATCCATCTATTCATTAAATAAATACTTTCATCCTCTACATTCCTAGGTAGGTAAGAATTGTTGACGCTGCAGATTATCACAATAATACCACACATATAGGTTGGTGCGTGCTCCGCCTCTGTTCACTGTTTTACATCCGCATCAACATCCACATCCATTCACGGACCATGATAATTTTCATGCCCAACGATGATGGATCATGGCTGACGGATTGATAAATAGATGGATGATTGAAGAACGTTCCATTGAGTGATGGATGGATTGGCTTGGCTTGTAGTTGGGAAAACTATCGGTTGTACGTATACACTGTTCTTCCTGGAAGTGGGAATTCGTTAGAAACTCACCGAGCGCATGGATCGTGGTGTCTCAAATATTTCGCTTCCGGTTCTTTCCGGTTGGGGATGAGGGTGAGGTTGAGATGGAAGGAGAGGGATGTGGTCTGTTTGGGTGCGGATAGTAAAGAGGAAAGGGATGGAGAGGGTAGATTTGATGCGATGGGTCGGTGGATTGTTGTGTGTGCGTGAGGGGGGGTGATGGATTAGGGGGCAAGTTGGAGGATATGATATGATTAACTAACATGCGTATTGTTAGTTAGATGGCGATGGGAGGTAGATTTTGCAGGAATGATTGGATACATCTGATTGGATATATCTGATTGGGAAGATGTCGACTTTCATTCTACTGTTTCGTTTTTCATTGAGTGGGGGGAGAAGAGTCGGAGAGAAGTGAGAGAGAGCACTGGTAATACGGGATAAGTTTGGTGATGAAAAGTGAGGGAGTTAAAGGGGTCGACAGCTTTTAGGGGGTACCTTGTGAGCACGGTATGGTATGGTATGCTAACAGTATACCAGGAGGAGAGCAGGAGGACTAACTGACAAATCAGTAGTAGCTACAAGTTACACGACAAAAAGATTTTTGTGCTGAGAGGAAAAGAAGATCTGTGAGGGGGGAGGAGAGAAGAGGGAAGAATCATGGAATAAAAGATTGCTCTAGAGTTACGGGGGCTGCGTTTGTGTTTCAATATCACATTTCGATATCGAGATGATGAACATGAAGCTGTATCTGTGTCTGTGTATAACTGTATTGAAATCGATGATGAAGAGAGAGATAGATGATGCATGATGCATGATGCATGCCGATTTAAGGTTGGGGATAGTAGATTTTGTCAGGAACACGGTAAGATCACCAGTGGGTGCATAGTCTGACGAGACACTTCTCAACTTTCGAGATATTTAACAAATTCAATCTTCAATTGCTTTATATAAAACTTTATGTTTCGATTGTCCAATCTCTAATGAAACATTCAAAAAATTCCTTAGATGTATTAATCGCTAGATCAAGAGATATTTCTAAGTCCATTCTTGTAGTGTCCCGTCAGTCCGTACACCTACTGGCGGATATCTGGTTTGGGCATTACCACCGCCATCCATGACAAACCAAAAACTACGGACACTGAAACTAGCATATATCTATCTCAAATTCATCTCGCGTTCGAATGATATCCAAGCTTACAAATATACAGTACGCGTGGTTGAAACTAGATCCGCATCATCTGCATCAACGTTGATGTTGAAAAAATGAGCAATGCTCAATTCTTTTTCTGGCGGCTGACCTTGAAGAAACTGGGTAACAAAGAAATAGAATTCCGTATTTGCATTGATTTCTAGTCGCGAGCTGGAGAGATGATGAAGTCAAGATCTATTTCTTGCTTTTTGCGCAATACTGACCTTGAATTAGGTCGAGGAAGGGCAAAAGAGAACGAGGTGATTGATTACTGATATCTTGTTTAGTTCCTTGGATTCATGAATGAGGTTGTTCGAATGGGGTTGAAATGCATTTAAGTGATATGCATTAGTAAAAAGGATGTATCTATCGTGTCTTAATTTGACGAGTAAATATATACCAAGAGATTTGAATAATCCCGCGATTATGGAGCAGCTACCAGTAACATTCTATGCTGGTTGCAACACACATGGTAGATATCAAGCGCAAGATAGATTGATACAGAACAAGAGATGAGATTAAATGGGTAGATTAATCGTGTTCT